TGGGTAACAGAATGATTCGTCACTTTACAACATTAATACCATTTTATGATAAAGACTTGTGATCCTTCTGCTAGTAATTCTTGCATACAACTTTAAGGGGTTGTGCAGGATTTCTGCTCTCAAGAGTTCTGACAGCTTTTATTTTCACTTGGGACTCAGCAAAATTGAAACATTGGCATTTTAAATACCCTTTTCAAGCTCCTTGGTGGGACAACACACCCTTCTTTATTACACTCTAGATGGAAGAGAGCTGAAAAATCAGACCCGGTCACAGCACACCACATTTTTTCTGAGCTCTGTATTCTGTAGTCAGATTTTGTATAAATTTTCTCACATTAAACTTTCCCTGGTGTATAGTAACCTAGAAATCAATGTGAGAAGGCAGCATTCACACCTTTGCATAGGGGTGATCTCACCACAGCTCTCAAGAGTCTCTGACTTCTCTGAGGACACCCCTGACACTTGTTTGATTTCTGATTTTGGCAAAACACTTCCTCCCATGAAAACCATTGTCAGAATTAACTTCAGTGGGACGAGATTCAACTCTTCTTATTTTTAAATGGTGTCACTAATATCTTATTGGAGTCTTGCCCTGGGTGTAATAAAACCTGGTTTAAATTGCCAAAGGGTTCAGCTGCTGCCTGGAACAGCTGCATTGGTGTAATTTGCCAATAGGATGTATTACATCCTGATTACAGTTTCTGTTGAGTGATAGGCCAAAATTACAAGGCAGAAATGTAGCTAATCATGATATAGGAGATAAGTCTATTCATCTACTGCCCGTATTTAATACTTAGAGAACAGATGCTGTTTGTTCCTCTTCAGCTGCATTTACATGGAAATGTGCTTTCATTCTGAAGATATTTTAAGGTAAATGAAAAGTCTTATTGGGCATTTTGATGGAAGGGGAAGGGAAAAAGGTGAAATATCTTGGAAGGTTTCTCTTTGTTTCCTAGCCATGATAAACTTACACAAATCAATCAGTTGCTGTAAGATGAGCAAAGTGAGCTACTCCAGGCCAGAAACAGATGTCTGTGAAAGCTGAAGAGCCCATGTTTTTGGCAGATGGATTGTCAGCATAGGTGCAAATGACATGAGGAAAAGCCCCAGGGATTAAGGCTTGAGTGGGCTGTGAATGGTCTTTTATTGCATGCATCCCCAGCAAGCAATGCACAGGCCATCCTGCTGCAATGAAACCATCTCTTTCAGTGTCGTGCCTCCCTGGGCCATCAGGCCAAGCCCTAGCTGAGGTCTGCATCCACACATTGTGCCCATTGTACGCCAGAGGGGTCCCACAAGCGTGAGATTTGGGGGCAGGACAGATCTCACTTCATAGCTCAGTAAGAGATACATTCCACTTCCACAAGCTCATGGTTCCAGCCTGGGGAAATGTGTGAGAGATCCCTCAGTTCCCCACTTCCAGCCCCGGCTCCAGCGTGGGGAGTCAGGAGCCAGCGGGAGCGTGTCTGCTGGGCACCAGCGAGCACATGGGCTGCTGTTGTCGTGCCTGGACAGAGCTTATGGCTCCTGCATTGTGACAGCGAGTAAACAATGTCCCTTTCTGTGTGGTGCGGGGCACCCAGCTGAGCTGGACTCACGCTGTAATGCACTCGGTATCTCGCAGCTCCTCATCGCCCCTCTCTGCAGCTTCTCTGTGGCCTTGTTGCTAAATGACTGCAACAGTTCCAGTTGGAGAGATCAGATCACCCCAGGGGACTGTAGAGCAGAGCCTGCTTAACACCGGCCAGTAACCGGGCATTGTGCTCCCTCTGGGGCAGCTGTCTATGAAAACACAGGCAGAGCAGGCCGGCGGTTTCCATGGGCTGAGCTGTGAGGTCAGGGTTGCCTGCTTCCTCTCATTTCTATTCTGCCAAGGACCATGTTCTCCTGGTAGTGAGAATTCCCTGTGCATGCATTGCAGCCTGCTGTGACTCAGAGCAGCCTCACTCTCTCCCATGCTTAAACCTTGACTTCACCCCTGGGTACTTCACCCTTTTCCTCCCTGATGGCTACCATGGCCTCCTAAACATGACCCGGGGGTGGGGCAGCCACTCATTCACCCCATCCCTTACCACCATCTGACTGGCCTAAAAGCCCCTCAAACCTGTGTTTGCTAAAATGAAGTCATCTGCTGCATTTTGGAGGCCAATTTCACTCAGCTCCATTGCTCCCTCCCAGCTTCAAGTGGATGCACTCGTATCTGCTGCACCCATGATGTGGAGGAATAGCAAATCCTTTGGCAGCGCCAAATATAAAGCAGCCATTGAAGCGTTCCAGTCTGTTTCTTGCCAGACACAGCCCCCAGGGTGCTGTCAGTGCTGCTCGTGCTCCCCTTGCCATGTCAGAGGCAGAGCAGTGTCCCCAGCCCCGACAGATGCGGAGCACACAGCCCTTTGTGCAGCAGCAGGTCTTTAAAGCCTGATGAAAGGTCTGATAAGGGTGGAAAAAAATGAGCTTTGAATGCTAAATACAAAACAGGACACCTGAATTTATCTAGAAATGAAAAGGAAAATCCATGTCTTGCTTGGTCATTAGCACAAATCCCAGGATGGAGCGTTATCAGGGTTGCTCTGATAAGGCGAGGAATGCTTGTATTAAGAGGCTGACTCCCCTGGCTGGGCTGTGGGGCCCACTAACACATGGGCTGCTGTTATTGCTGCTTCAATTTCACAGTAAAAGGCCCTTTATCTAAAGAAGGGGTTTCTGCTAATCTTTCTGAAACACTCTGAGACCTCCTGATGAGAAGTATTACAGAAAAAATAGGTATTGTTAATTCCAACTTTGTCTCTACCACTCCGGGTGCAAAGTACAGTCCATAATAGTCCCTAGTTTGTCTGATCAGAGTATCAGCCACTTGCAGACATTCAGCTACACTCATGTGCTGTTAAGGGTGATACTGAGGAGGGCTGGTGTCTTAAAAGAGAAGACAGTTTCCAGTTGATGTTGTGGTTCTGTGATATGCCAAGCGTGAGATCCCAAATGCACCACAGATAATTGGTCTTTGCTTTTACTCTTGGTGTCCCAGCCTTTTTTTGCTCACTTTTTGTCAATTGTTTCTTGCATTCTAAATTATTAGCAAGGAAGGGTGATGCATGTAAACACTGTGGGATAAATAGTTGTCCAGCCAGGCAACAGCAGACTCCAGAGATAAGCTCTAGCAGAGCAAATGATGGGTTACAGCAGGCATGTATAGCCCCTATGAGTAGCTGAGCTGCTCTTATTACGAACAGGAGAAGGGCTTGACTTAGCACCAATAAAGTCACTCTCTTGAGGAAAACTAAGACCATTTGCTAATGTTGAACTCTAATCAACATTTTTAATTTCAGATTATTCTTACAGGAGTGACGAGTAGACAGGGAGGGAAGCACTGAATTCTTGAAACACATTTTGCCCCAAACTCTCCTAGGCAGCCACCTGGGGTGTTCATTCATCAGCTGGGGATGGGGCTGGGTGTGTTTCCAAGACATTCTTTGTGACAAAGATAATCTTTTATTTGACTGAGGATTTGACAAGCACAGACTTGATTAACTTGGCTGTTGGAGTGTTGTTGGAGGAACAGGACTATGCAAGCAAGAGCTCCCTGATGTGTTTTTCAGAACTGACCCATCTGGACTCCAGTGAGGCCAGAGACAGACCAGCAGCAATGCTTCCCTCCCTACATCTCACCTTTTTTTTTTCTCATGGGTTTTTCCCCATAAAGCTGCAAAACTTCACTCTGAAAGTGTCATTCTTGCTCCCAAATACGTTCCTGGCCTCTCTACATTTCTTTTATGCGGGTGTGAAATTCACTTTGACCTAATTAAAATTCCCCATTGGCATTTTGGTGCTAGAAATCTAGACGTAGAGCTGCTGAGCAAAAAAATGTGTCAGATGCACTGTGATCACCTCTGCCTTTCAGGGCAGAGATGAGCAGACAAGGGCTGCAGGCACTGAGATCATTTTACATTTAAGCCAGTGTTTAATTCTCCTAATAGCCCCAAGATTGCAGGAGCCCAAAGCCTTACACCTAGGATTAAGTGACCTTCTAAATATAGGCTTGTTGTTGCAGGGAAGGTAAAAGAACAACAGAGTCACTGGGAACTGTTCTTGAAAAACATTTATTTCTGGAATGGGTTTATAGCATTGACTCCCAAGCCCCAGTACAACACAGTTTCCCCCTGCATGTAATTCTGGGGACAGTTACCTCTGATGGACAAAAGAAAAGCCATACAAAGAAGCCCCCCAAACAAACAGTTTGGTACAAAACAAACTGTGCCCAGGTTATCTCTGAGCCTCTGCTGTTTCACCCTGACTGGGAGAGAGCTGCCCTGCTCCATCCCCTGGTCACAGCTGCAGGATGGTTCACTGCCTGAAGGCCCCAAATAACTTAAGATGTTGTGTTTAACTGCAAAAAAAGAGGAGGGGACATGGGCAGAGAAGGCTGCTAGGATTCAGCAGCTGCTATTTTTGCAGACATTATTTAAAAAGAAAATCTATGCATTTTAGTTTCACCTCCTGAGCCCCAGCATTAGGAAAGTCAAATACAAACCCAGTGACCAATGTACACAAAATAGTCAACAAGTGTCCAGGCATTTCTAAGGCCCTCACTTTACTGTGCCATGATACCTCAAAAAAACCCAAGAAAACCTCCACATTCGGACCATGTTGGATCTTATTTTTAAGAGGGAAGGGCAGAGATGCAGCACATAGCATAGCAACTGTCAAGCAATGTTTAAGGCAAATTATTAAGAGTTGAAGATTTGTTTTTTGTTTGTTTGCTTTGTTTTTTTTTAAGCTGTTAAAGAACATCTCAGCTGGACATTTAACCTTAGACAAGTTTGTGAAGTCAATTCAAGTTGGCCTGAGCCTAGAACAGCAAAAAATATTATTTCCCAAAATATCAGTGAGAACAAATTACAAATAAATCAAAATAATTGATGTTCAGGACTCTCTCAAAACTTTCTCTTTTCAGAGACCAGGTTGAGCCCAACTAAAACTCAGGGACATGCACACATACTAGGAAGGACATGATGGCAAGCCTCTACAAACACAATGCTGAACAGGACCAAAGCAGAGCCAAACCTAAATTCCAGAGATGAGAGAACAGGGACAGAGTTTTGAGTAAAAAAACAATGGGAGAGGGAAACCCAGAGCCCCAGAGAGGGATGTTGCATGAGATGGAATGGAAAATGAAAGTCCGTCGTATGGAAAGGAAGGGAGTTCTTAGGTGCAGACACAGCAAACAGGGATTTCAGTTGCCTCATCTCTCAGTTGTGTTAGTTTGTTGTGCCTTCCCCCTCCCTTTGAGATCCAGGTGATGGTGCCAGGAGGTTGGTGTGTTTACTCAGTCTGTGCATCATAATTAGCCCCCCCTGCTTTCTTCAGCTCATTCTTGATGTAATCCTCATCCAGCTCTTTGTGGTCACTGATCACAAATTCTTTGGCAAAGTTCTGCAAGAGAGAAAGAAAAAGCCTGTTAAAGAAGAGCATACTTGTCCAAGTACCTGCATAAAGAAATATTACCCAGCTTCCATGGCTGTACGAGCTGTATGCCCCTGTGTGGTAGGGATGATAAACAGAAAGCTGTGGATGAGACTGGTGATGGCAAATCCCAAGACCTGGAGAAAGTTTATGTTTCTGTCTCTACAGCCACCAGCTGCAAGACCCAATCCTGCCCTGTGCAACTGACTCTTCCTAGTGATAAAAGCATAGCCTACGTTAGGTCAAGCTTCCTAAGCAGCATAAAAACTTGAAAGCTCAAAATTATTGACCATGTTACTGCCACAGACCCACAGCATAATATTGGCAAGTCACTAATCCTGTCTGTGCCGCTGTCCTTTTTAGGGGCCCTTCTCCCAAAACAAGAACAGCACTGTATACTACAGTGATGGGAAGGTGCTTTGATTAAAGACTGAACAACACCCAGATGGTCCCAGAAGCAAGTAAGTCTATCCCAGTAGATGTACTGACTCCTCCTCTTGACTATCTGATACACACCATGGCCAAAACAGAGGTACTGAATTAGACAGGCCCCTGGTATCATCAATAGGCTGCTCTGTGGTGTAATGACCCAAAGTGACCTTTAAGGACATGCTTTATTAATACACGTGTGTACTGCAGAGCAGCAGTCTAGCTGGGTGAATGCTCTTTGCAACTCTGGGGAGCTGGGCAAGGCCTGGGCAGCACGCTGTGCTGGGGGCTGGGAGCAGGGAAAACCCTTCTCACAACAGGGGGCTGTGGAGGGGATCCGATCCCATGGTGCCTTTAAGGCTCTGGTCATGGCAGCATCACTGCAGCCAGGGATCTCTGCCTTTGTAGGGGCTGTCCCTCCTGTCTCAGAGCAAGGGTGGCATGTGAGTGCATTTCAGCACACACATTCGGACACGTTTCAGCCAACATCCACGTTTGCTGCTTCTTGCTTCAGCATTTCCCTTCCCAGCCACAACTGAAAACACTGCATGTGTCTCTCCCTTCCCCTCAACCCGCAGAGGTTTTAGGCAGCGTGCAAAACACAAGCATCCATTGGACTCTGCAGGGCCAGGGACAAAGTGACAACCAAAAAACATGAATTAAAATCCCAACAGCCCTGCTGCAGTGTCTCAGGAAAGCTGCCATGCCTGGGTCCCTGGGCAGTGAGTGCCCCAAAAGTGACAGAAGCTGCCTGGGAGAATGAGGCAATGCTTTGGGAGAGAAGCAGTCATCTTGTCAAGGTCTCCCCAGTGCTGGAACAGCACAACCGTGGAGGAGGTTGTTCTAATTGGTTTCAGACTCTAAGCCATGGGAGAGCTCTTTATTTGGCAGCCTCTCAAGGGTCTCAGTTTGGGATCAGAGTCCTGTAAAGGAGGGGGTGGAGAAGGATTCGGCTTGAAAGAGCCTCAGCACCTCTTTCATGAGGTGGAAAAAATGGAAGGGAGAGCAAAACAGCTCCCTCCCCCACGCCAGCCTCCCAGGCTGCTGCTGATCCTGTTTCACACTGCAGGAAATCCTCACTACCCAAGCGTTGCCTGGGGAGGGGGAGGAAGCTTATAGCTGCTGTGAGAAGCCTTGTCTGCTCTGCTTTAGGGTAGCAGCAACTAGACAAAGTCTTAAGAAACAACAACTGCTTCACAGCACCATTTTGCTCCACACATCAATGGTTGGCTTTCCTGGTGTGAGGACAGACAGACCTTACAGACATTCATCCATGTCTTAGCAGAATTCAGGGAAAAAGGGAAAGAAATTGTTTATTTACAGAAAAAAAAATCCCTTTTTTTGAGATGGAAAATGAAGAGGCAAACCACCCAGACATCAGATTTGGTCATGCTCACAGGTGTCCTACTTCCAGATCTCCTGTCTGTGATCTCTGCAAAGCTCAGCTCTTGCTTAGGCCAAACAAGTGATTTTCAACTATTAGATGCTTGCTGAGGTGCTACCCACATGATTTTTGAGCTGAGCCTTTTCAGTTTCTTTTCTACGAGCTAAGAGGTTTTAAAACTTTTCCTCAACTCAGGAAACAGATTATCCAGGACTGCCTGACTTCAGTGAGAACTGAGGCAGGTCCATAAAGTAATTTCTGAGAGTGACTCCATGAAAAATGTGTGTATTTTATAAATGCAGGGAGGGTTTCCTTCAATGCCCAGTCTGCAGAATCCAACTGATTCTGAATTTAAAACTGCAAGTGCACTCATGCATGAACAGAGGAGAAACAAATTATATGTACCACAAAGTAATTACTCAATTACTCTTCTCAATTAGACAGTTACCTACATAATTCCTGGGTGATGATCTGTGGGCACCAGCCACTATTCCATGTCAGTGCCACCAAGGCATCTTGCAAGGTTTGAGAGATTTCCTCCTAGCAGTTGGCCAGATGGGTTATGTTCCCAGCCACTCTTAAATATCCTCTTAGCTGACAGGGCCACCTCTTGTGTCAGATTTGTACCCTCAGAGTGCAATCTGGGTCACTGCTATTAATAACTCTGCTTTATTCCTTTCTGCTGGCAGGTGCTGTCAGGGCCTTTGTTGGTTCTTCACACTGGCTCTTACCTACCATGATGTCTCATCAAGCTTGGCCCCAAGGGGAGAAGATGCTTTGGGTGAGTTTGCTGCCTGCACTTCTTGATTTCAATATCCTGCTTGACCCTTCTTCAGCCATAGCCTCCCTCATCACTGAATTCTCTGTTTGAGCTCTTTGGGGTTGAGTTTTTGTTCAGAGTGCAAATCATAAGGTGAAGGGAGGCATATCAGTATTTCAGAGACAGTTGAAACTGCCTCTTCCATCATCAGGGCAGGAAGACAGGAGGGACTCTGGCTCTTAGATCAGGAGCCTGGGCATTCAGGATCAACAGCAGCATTCTTCAGCCAAGGGCCATCTTATCCAGAGTTCACTCTTTTTTTTTTTGTTTTGTTCCTGCT